GGAATAGAGTTTTTATCTATTCCATGTTCAGATAGCCTGGGTCTTCCAAGTTTGGTGGCTGGAGGTCAGCTGGATGCTGTTTATTACTTTAGACTGAGAGTTTCGGGAAGAGGGACACTATGTCTACACTGTCATACTCATCCTTAGCTCCCAATGCCTGGTGTGTAGCAGGAAGGTAGTGTTGCTGAATGAGTATATTGTTTCTTACTATTCCAACAGGACTGCTGAATATACCTCTGATTAATTTCTCGTATATGCAACATGAACAAATTAAGGAAAATCTCACCAGCCCCATAATACTCCTCTCCTTGTACTGGTTACTTTTCTCTTAGCTATGACCAAATTTCTGACAAGAAGCAACTTAAGGTGAAGAGGACTTGTTTTGGCCTAGTTCATCACGGTGGGGAAGGCACGACAGAATTCATGGCAGTGGGAGGACATGGCTGGGACTCTTCAAATCTCTGGAGACCAGAAAGCAGAGATTGACCGGGAACAGGACCACAACGCACAGTGCCCTCCCTCCAGTGACCCACTTCCTCCAGCTGGGCCCAAGTCACAGATACTTCTACAAAACACCAGCTGGACTATAAAAGCATCAGTTTGGGTCTAATCAATGTTTTCTGGTCTTGCATTTCTTACTGTGATTGCAGTGCCAGCTACTGTAACATTTAAACCATCCAATTTCAGGTGCTTAATGCAACAGAACTTTATTACTCATGTACCAGTGTCCCAATGTCTTTTTTTTTTTTTTTTTTTTTTTTATTTTTGGGTCTTGGTACATTACCACCCCTCGGGGTTTTAGAGACCTGCTTTCAGTTGAGCAAGGTGGAGAAGGCATACCCACCTTTTAAAACATTGACCCACAACAAACCTCATACAAACTCATGTTCATTAAAATGATAATCAGTCCCATGTGCCACTTGGCAGCAAGAAGCCTGGGAAATACACCTCAGGCAGAAATGCTGTCAGCTGTCCTGGCGATAGAACATGAATTTTTGGTGGACAGTCAGCTTTCTATTGCTACAGTGAAGAGTATGTTCTTACATGGTTGTTTCCAGGGGATCTGACAGTTTCTTCTGGCTTCCACGGGCACTTGCACACACACAGTACATTTACAGACAAGCAGGCACATACGCATACACATAAAATAATAAAAATAAATAAATCTTCAAGTATGATGCCCACCAGACAGGTCACACATTCAAGTCAGGAACGTCACAGTCTTAGGTAACTTGCCAACTTTATCTAACAGTACAGATGACACAAAGTCAACCAGAGCACAGACAATTCATGTGAGGTGTACTGTGGGCAGCTTGGAGCAGGGGTCAGAGCAAATCCTTAGTCAGAAGTGTGGGTTCAGATCTTGACTTAGACCATTACTGTTTGACAAATGCAAGCTTGTCAACATTTTTGAGACTCCGTTTTCCTAAGAGTGAAATAGAGATCCTAATACCCACCTTGCAGAATTATGATCAGAGGTATTATCTATAGACAGTGAATAAATAATAATTGGTATCATTGTATTTTCTGAATAAAAGTTTCTCAAGAAAGCAAACGTACCTTTTTTCTTTTAATTGCTTTGAAAACAGTCAGTGTAATAAAGGGCAAGTAATGAACTTTACATTCATATTAAGGTATAGGGCAGTGTAGATGTGATGCTTCTAAGTACATACGTCACAATATCTGTCCGGTACCCAGTACAGAACCAGGTATGACTGAATTGCTGATAATTCCTCAGAACACTAGGAGCCAAGGAAAACATAAAATAAACAATAGTAACAGTTATGACGTATCGAGTATGTATTAGATCCCTCGAGATCCACACCAATCTTTTACAATGTACTGTTGTCACTGCTAACGACACACAATCATTCCTATCACCACCTACAGAGGGGAGTAATAGCCCAAGACAGTCACAATGAATGGCAAGAAAGGATCTGAACCCCAGTTAGTCTGACTTTATAGCTCAAACTCTGAATCAAGGAGCTTAGGCTTAGAGGCTGTGTTTTCTCTGTGCAAAAAACAACCACACACACAGGCTGATGAGATGGCTCAGTGGGTAAAGGTGATTGTTACCAAGCCTGATGACCTAAGTTCAATCACTTGGACCCACATGGTAGGGGAGAGCTGACTCCTGAGGAGAGTTATACTCGGACTTCCATACACGTACGTGCATGCTTACATACATTCACATACCTAATAAGTGTAATTAAAAAATAAAAAAAAACCCACACATACAAATTAGAAAACAGTGTTGAATAAATGTGGTTCAAATTATAAATGCTATAGGAATTCAGGCTGGAGAGGAACTCCTCATGCTTGGGATGACTGTGTGCCAGGCTTTGTCAGGACTCCTTCCCATTTAAGGAGACAGCCTGGCATATGCGGAAGGGGGAGAGCAGGTGCTTTGGAACCAGACAGGTAGGCTGTAAGTCTTGGTGCTTATTTACAAGCCGAGTAGTCTCAGGAAGTCTGAAATCATTCTGATGATTGCCTTGACTGAAAATAGGGTTAAAACAGCAACCTTCCAGAGGAGCTTTTGTGGCTATAAAATGGTTAGGTGCTGTTCAATCAACAGATATGAAGTTCCTTGCACTTGAGAGTAATACTATCAGTCAGATCAGGCTAGGTTATGCTGCTGTAACAAACATTCATTACCTTGTTGGTTGAACAAATCATGAGTATCTGCCCACCCTGTTTTTACAGTTCAACTTGCTTGGGATTATTCTGTTTCCTTAGAGTCCCAGCTCACTCCCAATTCTGCACTGACATGCTTGTCACAATGGGAGGGGGACAGGACAATTTGCTCCTGAGCTGTTAAGGTTCACAAATGGAAGACATATTATTTCTACACTAATTTTCTTGACTTACACAAGTTATGTGGCCACATCTGACCTTAGGGAGCAGGGTAGGAGAGTTCTACCACATCCTGCCGGGAAGGAAGGGAACAGAAAATATTCAGTGACAAGTTTTAATTACCATTACAGGCACAATCTATTTCCCTTAAATAAAGAGACCCATTATCCACATTTTAAGAGGAAATTGAAGCTCTAAGAGGTTAAGTCATTTGGCAAAGGTCATGTATCCAATCCACTGGGGAGCCAGGAGTCAACCTGCATGCCCTCTGCTTCCTTCTGGAATCTGCATGTACAATGTATGCAGACTGTTTAAAAGCAGAATGTGGGTTGGAGAGATGGTTCAGTGGTTAGGAGCACTCGCAGAGGCCCCGGGTTTGATTTCCCAGTACCCACAAGGTGGCTAACTTGTCCATAACTCCAGTTCCAGGGGATCTGACACCCTCTTCTGACCTCCTACCTACATGTAGACAATACATTCATACACATAAAATAAAACTAACTTTTAAACAGTTTTTAAAAAATCTAAAAAATAAATAAATAAATAAATAAAAGAATGCAGTTTCAGGAGGGGTGCAGAGAGTCCCTGAGAAGGCCGATGAAAGGAACAAATTGGAATAAACATGGCCTTTGCGTTTGTCTTGCCTGACTGCTCCTAAGGCAGGCAGAGACTGGCAAGAGGGATATTTAAGCGTCAGTAAAAGAAGTTTTGAGATAAAAATATCAAGTGCCAGCTGGGCAGAGGCGTCAGGGATGATATGGTAACTGGTGTTTCAGGACACAATCGGGCAGCAGGGAGGTAGCCCCGGGTTCCCTGAATCCTGTGTAAGGAAACCTGGGGTAGACAGAAGATGGAGGGCTGGCGGAACCAGAGAGCTGTAGAGATCGCTCAAAGTGAAGGCCAGGCGACATGCAGGGCACGCTGCCTGCCCAGGACGCCCATCCCATTCACCCTTCCCACCCTCATCAGCTACACTGTAATTTACTTAAAATTATTTAAAAAAACTCCAAGAACCCCTCCTTCTTAGTTTTCCTCCCCCAACCTTAGGAGAACCAGGGCAGCCTCGTCAGGGTTGGGAGGACCTTCCTGCCTGACCCTCACCTGGTGGGGAGGGATCTGGCCCTTTCAGTTAAAGGAAAACTCCCCTCGCCTCAGTGGCGAAGGCCTGCAAGTGGCCTCTAGTTCTACAAAGGCGTGGCGCAGCAGGCCCAGGCCCCGGCGCATCCCAGGTCCCCGGTTTGTCCACCTCGGGAGGCGACCCAGCTCCATCCAGGCCCCATCTCTCCTCCCCTCTTCCGTGTCTGGTCGGCCCGAGTCCTGGACCGTGCAGGAAGGCCGGCGCCCGGCCAGGGCTCAACCTCCGAGCCTCCTCCGTTCCTGACTCCGCCTTTCTCCGGACAGTGCTCAGCGGCCGGCCCCAAAGGGGCCCTCGGGGACTTCCCAGGTCCCCGAAGTTGCCCCAGGAGGGCGCAGCCCGGGCCTAGTTGGAGCTGGGGACCTGCGGGGCCTGGGCGGCGGGAGGGACCGTGACTCACCGCCTGTAACCCAACACCGCCCGGCCTCCCCCAGCTCCCTCCGGCCTGGCGGCTGCCGCTACACCCAGGAAAAAAATGCAGGGTGGCCCGGGCCGCTGCGGCCTCCGGCCGGATCGCTGGCCGACCCGGAACTGGGGCGCCGTCGCCCCTCGGGCTTCGGGCCCCGGCGGGAGCGCACGCGGATCGGCGGGAACCAGCGGCGGAGGGCCCGCGGTAGCTGCGGAGGGTGCGCCCGGGAGCCCGGGTAGAGGACGCTCCATCCCGGCCGCGCGAGGACAAAGCGGCTCGACCCCTCCCGGGCCTGCGTCGCGCCGCACAAAGAGCGAGCCGAGCGAGGGGGACGCGCACCCCGCCCCCTCCGCGCATGGTGGCCCCGGGGAGGTGGGGACACAGCGCTGCGCCGCCCCTGCGCCCCTCCCCGCCTCCGCCCCGTCTGCGCGTCCCCTGGCGTGGGGGTGGGGGGCGCGGCGCACCACATAACACTCCCCCTCCTGCGCTCGGAGCCACCCCTCTCCCCTCCCTCTCGCAAACACCGCCGCCTCCCCAGCCTCCGCCGCCACCTCGCCCGACGCTCTGCAGCTCTCCGCGGCCGGCAGGGGGGCGCTCGCAAACACCGCCGCCTCCCCAGCCTCCGCCGCCACCTCGCCCGACACTCTGCAGCTCTCCGCGGCCGGCCGGGGGGCGGTGCGCCGAGCGCGCGCCGGGCGCCAGATGTGCAGTCTCCGCCGCCGTCAGTGACCCAGCCGCAGCCCCAGCCGGCTCGGGGCGTCTCGCCAATGCTGCGGGGGCGATCTTGAGCGCACCCCGGTTTCCCTCGGCGGGTATCCCGTACACCCCGATCCCCGGCGCGGGGTCCAGCCTTCTCCAGCCCGGCTCGCCCTGCGCTTGGACATGGAAGGGGCCGCTGCGCCCGCGGCGGGGGATGACCGTGATTTGGGGCCGGGGGTGCCGGGCTCTCCACGGGAGGCAGCAGCCGGGGCATCTGCAGCCCCAGCGGCTGCTGCGGCGGCCTCGGAGCCCAGGAAGCCACACGGGGTGAAGCGACATCACCACAAGCATAACTTGAAGCATCGCTACGAGCTGCAGGAGACTCTGGGCAAAGGCACCTATGGCAAAGTCAAGAGGGCCATAGAGAGGTTTTCGGGCCGAGTGGTGAGTGAGGCAAATCCCTGGGGCACCGGCTAGCCCTAGATGCCGACGGGGGGTGGCGTCTGTGCACACCGGAGCTCTCTTGACCTGGGGAGGGGGTCTCGAAGGAGCTCCCTAGTCAGATTTCTCACTCTACTCCCAGCACCCCATGACTCAGTCATGCCTCTCTGGAAACACTTGTTACATCCTGTCTGCACATATTTTGGGGCTCCCCCCACCTTTTATCCCAGCCAGCAAAGTAGTGTTTAGGATTTGCAAACACTTTGCAGCTTTGAGACCACGGGTCTCCCCCTCAGGCACACATAAGAGGTTGCCTTGGAGTTTACTTATTTTGTACAACTCCCAGACGACCCACATCCTTAGTTTAGAGCTAGCTTCATCAAGTCCTGTGTCCTGGTCTTGCTCTCTTGCCCCCCCCCCCCTCTCTCTGCACCCTTCCGCTGGGATGGATGCTTGATCATCCTGATGCTGCTGTGGCTGCAAAGGAGGGCAGACTCCTGCCCATAAAAATAAAGCTACTACTGCATGTCTGAAGGCAGTTTGCCTCCTGGCTTCTGGCAACACTGACGCGCCCAGGGCTTGGGTGGCCATTGAGACCCGGAGCTGAGCTGCAGCAGGCTCAGTCGCCTTCCAGGTCCTGCCTTCAGGGCTACTAAATTGTTCAAGGGGTCTGGCTAGCCGCATCTGTAACAGCTGAAGCTCTGCTTGGGTGCCAGCACCAAGCTCCAGGGAGTGCGTTGAGTGCCTTGGGGTCTCAGCGTTGTTCCAGCCTTGGTTTGTTGTCATTTCCCTTTTTGCAGAACAGGCCCATGAAATCTACACTGCTTGTGGCTAGAGAGTTGGGTTCAAAGTGACTGACTGTTGGAGAAAGAGTTTGTGTGGTGTGTGGCAGAAAATGAACATGGCTCTTTGATTTAAAGCATGTCAGATGTATTTAAATACATTTAGGGCCAAAGTCAGAACCTGGTTGTGAGACTCCTTAAGTGTACTTTGGGGGGCATTTTGGGACCCAGTGTTGCTTATAAACCTAACCAGTGATCACAGGGAAAGACAGGATGAATTGTCAGGTGATGGGTTGGTGTTATTTTTCTTTTACATGATCAGCAAGGTTTATTCCTCCTAATTCTCAAGTATTCTGGATACTTTAAAAAGTCTGTTATCAATGAATCGGATATTGGAACATTGTGCTTTTAAAAATAAATTGCTCCTGTCATAAACGAATTCTACAGCAAGCACACTGTGCAGGTGCGGTTTTCTTTGTAGGCTGAAAAATCTGTGGAGGAGCTGGTGGCAGAGGTGTCCTGGTGAAGGACTGCACACTTAGGTTTGGGGAAAAGCCTGAGAAACGCGTTCATTCATGCTTTTCTTCTGAGGTGATATTCCCCAGGCTGGATGTTGAGTAAGCAAAACTAAGCTTAGCTCCTTGCTCGTGTTGTCTTAATAGCTGTTGAAGAATCGCGCTGGGAAGTTGGAAAGCAGGATAATGAAAAACAGACGCAGTTGGAGGAGCAGGTTGAGGATGTGGGAATGTGAGAGGTTGAGTAGGAAGGGTGTGTTGGGGTCTGTGGAGTCCCCCCACACCTGAGTGTTGGGGAATGGACTCATCCGCCAGAGTCCTCATGGCAGATGCCTTCCTGAGCTTCCCTGGGCTTCCACTCAGACGTTCTTTTAGCTGTCTTATCCAAAGACTGGGCTTAGAGCAAAAGGCTTGCATTGGTACGCAGGAGCCTGCCTTTTTCTTGTGGGTGTCTGGCTCGCTCTTTGCACACCGACTGTGACCAGTCGGCCAGGATTTTCAGACATAGCCGCTGGGGGGCGCCCGGAGAACGACAGAGGCTCATCTTTCCACCGCAAGGAGTCAGCTGTTATTGTCTAATCCTAGTTCAGTCTCTGATTGTGCTATTAATTTCAGCTAAATCTCTTGTTTTACTCAAAATTTATGTAGATTTTGAAGCAGATCCAGGCCCAGAAACTGGCAATCCTCAGACAGCTTCATTTTTTCATGGGACTGTTTTCAACTTGATAGCTAAGCTTAGAATGTTGTAGCAAAACCCTCCAACCAACACCTTGCATTTAACAGATGGAAAACTGAGGCTTGGAGGAGGGAAGTCCTTCCTGGCCTTGCATCCTCCCCTGATGAGCACACTCTTCACAGATAGCAGAAGAACTTGAGTGAGAAACAGGAATTGTCAGGTGGAAAATTCCTCGTCTCTGGCTGGACAGAAAATAATACAGCCAAAAAAATTGGTCAGCAAGTTGCACTTGCCCATTCAGTGATTCAAAAGCAGCAAATTTTTTTTTTTTATCAGATGCATGTAACATTAACAACTTGCCTGGAAGCTTCCATTGAGGAGGCTTAGGAAAACACTGTCTTATTTCTATCTGCTCTGCCTTTGGGTAGAATTCTGATTGATGCTTTAGTACCAACTCCTTTTACAGTGCATCTCTGGAGCACTGAGGAGCAGTGGAGGAGGAGGAGCAGTGCTCACCTGTTCTGCTGAGGTGGCTCAGTGCTGGGTATCAGCCACTAGGAAATGCCAGGAAATCAGCATTCCTTCCTAGAGTAGGGTCCTGCTCACAGAGGAGAGTCATTTGTTTTTAAAGAGTGAGAGCCTTGTAGCTTAGAACTGCACATCTGGAAGGGCCTTTTCTGAGTGATGGCACAGCATCACCTTCAGTGCTCTAAAGAGAGCTACAGAGTGAGGAGCTTGCAGCAGCTGGTCCAGTCCTCTGCCTGATCCAGGCCTCTCCTTTTTTCATCCCCAAATGTGGTTTTGCAGCCAGTGCTCAAGACAGGAACTCACAATGGTTTGAGATGATAAACCCAGCACTAAGGCTGTCTTGCAGAAAAGCTCAGAGCCCTGGCCTGCATTCAAACCCTTTGACTGATCCTTACTAGCAACCGGACATCAGGCAAGCTCTATCTATCTATCTATCTATCTATCTATCTATCTATCTATCTATCTATCTATCTATCTATCTATCTATCATCTATCTATATTTATCATCTATCATCTATCTATCATCTTTTTATCTATCTTTTATCTATCATCTATCTAATTCATCTATCATCTATCTATCTATCATCTATCATTTATCTATCATCTATCTATCATCTATCTATCTACCATCTATCTATCTATCTATCCTATCATCTATCTCTCTATCCATCTATCTGTCATCTATCATTATCATCTATCTGTGGAGAGTAAAGAATACAAAAGACTAATGAGAAGCAATCTCATTGCTAATTATCAACACTGAAAATGAACTAAACCTATTAGGTTAG